AAATGTGAATGCCAGAAAATCTCATTGTCTTCTTGCAAAACCTAAATGGTGTATAGGTTTTGCAATTTGCATGCTGGATAATTGACAAAGACAAAGACAAAGACTAAGGAAAAAAAGTCAGTATGTGTATGATTGATTACAGAAATACCCGCAGTTGTGTTGATCACATCAACTTGCGGCATATATTTAGAAAAATGTGAAAAGCAGAAAATCTCATTGTCTTCATGAAAAAAAACTATATGGTGTATAGATTTTGCAATTTGGATAGAAAATGACTTGCTTTTGCTTGGCAAAAAAGGGGTCATACATGTATATTCTCTCTTTATTTATTCCAACTATATACTGAATATGTACAATATTAAGGGAACTAGACTGGAAGAAGAGTGTATTTTTAAAACTGGAGGAAGAAACACTGTGCTGCACTGATTGACATAACAATTAAATACAATGAAAACCAAACTAATGGCAATGGGTACAACAACCTGCCTTAGAAATGACAATGAAGATATGCACGTGGTAGCTAACTTCTGCTTTTTTAGGATCAACTATTTATAGTAAATGAACAAGCAGTCAGGAAATGCACTGTAGACTAGTATTTGATAGTGTACCCAAGAAGGCCTTGAAAAAGATTTTCATATGCTCTGATGTGTCTGTACTTCAAAATTCAGAATACTAACAGTGGTATTATTCTCTGTGATACTCCATGAAAGCAAAAATTAGACTTTGAAAAAGCAGGACAGAAAGTGTATTAATGCTTTTGAAATTTAGTGTTGGAAAAAGAGTTAAGAATACCATGAACAGCCAAAAAAACAAATGAAGAGATTTTTGAATAATCAACCCAGAGTTTTCAATCAAGGTAAAAATTGCCAAGCTCAAATTATTCTGGGCATATTATGCAAAGGCCTAGCTCTCTGGAGGAGGCTTTAATGATAGCAAAACCAGACCAAAAGGGAAGAAGAGGTCAACCACCATCAAGGGGAATAGAGTCAGTTACAGTAGCACTGAATACAGGTAGTCCTTGATTTACGACCAGAATTGAGCCTAAATTTTCTGTTGATAAATGAATCGTTTGTTAAGTGAGTTTTGTCCCATTTTACAAACTTTCTTGCCACAATTGTTAAGCGAATCACTGCAGTTGTTAAGTTAGTGACCCGGTTGTTAAGTGAATCTGGCTTCCCCATTGACTTTGCTTGTCAGAAGGTCGCAAAAGGTGATCACATGACCCTGGGACACTGCAACCGTCATAAATATGAGTCAGTGGCCAAGTGCCCGAATTTTGATTATGTGACCAAAGGGATGCTGCCAGAGCCGTAAGTATGAAAAATGGCCATAAGTCACTTTTTTCAGTGCCATTGTAACTTTGAACGGTTACTAAATGAACTAGTATAAGTCAAGGGCTAACTCTACAGTTTTGGAAGACCAGAAGGGCTAGGTCGGGAACAGGTTGTCATGGAAAAAATCTATTTCTGTGGATGCTGATGGCACATAAGCAATCAATCAATCAACCAACAATCAAATAATCTATCAGTCTATCAGTCAATCAATCAATGTAATAAAAATATTCTTTCTGTTCTTTCTGTTATGTTTTCTGTCTTTGCTTATAATGATTGGGATGACATACAAAAAGTGTAAAATAAATAAATAAAAACCCACCAAGAACCCAGGCCACTAGACTGGGTAGCCCTCGAAGCTTATGAGCATAGGTATAATTCTCAGGTACTCACCCCGCTCTCTGAGAAATGCAGACTCTTAGAGCAGTGACTTAACCTTGTTGTATGATAAATGTACAGGAATTGTACAGGGATGTGAAATATGAATCTCTTTTCACTGCTTATCAAGCGACTCTACTGAAACTAATAGAAGCTTCTGGAATTGTGGCTTGTCCCAGGGCCCCAAATCACAAATATGTTTACATGAAATGTTCCTTACAATTCTAACTTTTCAAAGACACTTAGATTGAATTAGGGCAATCATATATGATGTATTGTTGCCACCTAGGGCTGGTTTAAGGAAATAGAAAGAACATTTTAATTTAAATAATGTTTGTGTTCAGCACATTTTAAAAGTTCCTGGCTAATTTTAAACGTTAACTGAAACAGAGAGAGTTTTGCGTCTCTCCCTCGCTCTCAACCTTGTTGTCAATAGATTTTGTGAAATGTATGAGAAGTGCCATTAGAATTTCAAAGAAACCTGCTCTCCTAGTTTACATAAAAATTGCTAGTTCATTATGTCCAATTTTGAAAATACCTAAAGTCCAATTTTGGTAACTAAATAAAATTTATAGTTTTCATTTCCTCTTTTAAAAAAAACAAATGTCAATTTCCCACTGCACTCTACTTTTTTTAAAACCACAGAGTTTCTGCTTCTTCTTTCACAATTTGTCACCTCAATCACCTTAAATTAATGACTCCCCTACATTATGTCACTGGCTGGAAACTTATAATGTGAATTTTTCCCACATGGGGAACAAATTACTAATAAGATGCAGTTCAGTGGCAAGGAAAATGAGGTCTTGTACTTAGGCAGAAAATGCCAGATGCATAGGTACAGGATGGGCAGTACCTAGTTAAAAACAGTAATGACTGTGATAGGGATCTAGATGTACAGATGGGTCATAGCTTAAGTATAAATTAGAACTGTGCTGTAGCTGCCAAACTAAAGCCAAGGCAATCTTGAGCTGTATCAAGACAGGGATAGCATCAAGATCAAGGGAGATGATAGTACCGCTTTATCCCACACTGGTGAGTCCACATTTGGGAATATTCCATCCAGTTCTAATCAACCACAATACAAAAAAAGATGCTGAGGTCCTAAAAAGAGTGTAGAGAAGAACAACCAAGACGATGAATGGTCTGGAGGCTAAATCCTGTGAAGAATAGTTAAAGGAACTAGGTATGTTTAACTTAAAGAAGACCGAGGGGAGACATGATAGCTATCTTCCTATAGTTGAAGGGCTACCATAGTAAAGAAGGTGATGATTATTATAGCACTTGAGAGTAGGATAAGAAGCAATGAGTGGAAGCTCCTCAGAAGGAGATCTAACCTGGAAATAAGAAGAAATGTTCCTGACCCTGAGACCTATTAAGCGGTGGGACAGGTTACCTTCCAGAGTTGTGAGTGCTCATTGTTGGAGGTTTTCAAGAAAAGATTGGATGACCATTTGTCCATGATGGAATGAGATCTAGAAGACCTTCAAGGTTCCTTCCAACCTTATGATTCTATAATTCCATGAACCCATTTTCTTTTGCATGCATTTCTTACCTTTTAACTAGGCTTTCAACAATCTGTTTTACTCTGCAACCTATATTCTGAAAGCCCTGATTGCCATTTCTTTTGCTGACTTGAAATCTTGGGAACAAGGAGCAAAAATCACTGCTCCGTCCTCAGCTGTTGCATGTACCAAAGTAGCAAAACAAATCAAATCAAAACAAAACAACCCCCCCTCCCATATCCTCTACAACAGTGGTTCTTAATCTTTTCTTCAGCATGGACCCCCATTAAAATACCTTTTGTGGCCCCTGACCATGGCCCCAAACCACCAAGACTTAACTCAAGATTTAAATCACAATATTTCTTCAAGCTTTCATGGACATCGCAGACCCCCCCCCCCCCGAGGGATCTGTGGACCACAGGTTGAGAGCCACTGCTCTACACAAAAGAAGGAAAAGAAAATAAATAACATAAAACTGAATAGCATGGCAGTTGATAGAGTATCATCAATTTTACCATGTCTTTTGGAATAGAAATATTGAATATGTAAAGGAAATGTTGGAAAACTATCAGTCGGGCAAGGAGGAGTGATCAAGCAGGGAATTAGCCTTCAGTCATTGTGCAGTTGCAAGAGATCTAGGACTGACATCCCCTAAATTCCATGGAACATTATTTGTTTGTTCCCAAGGATGGGCGAGTAATCTGGGGAGATCCTTGTACTATAGCTAGGAAGAATAAAGTAGTCGACTTGAACCTTTCACATATGAATCTCTTTGCTTGTGCCTGACAGGAGCTTACAAAAGAATGGATAAATTTCATTCCCCAGATCGTTCATTTTGCATAGTCTCTTGTTTCCTACTTTTGAATGGAGGCTTTTTCCTTACAGTGTTTTATTGATAAATTTAAATATTTGGAGGGTAGCTGCATGATTCTGGAGAAAAAAAATACCGCTAATTTCATTAGCTGCTGATAGGAGCAATATAAGTGTCTGCCATACCCCCGCCTGTACTTTCTCCCTTTTGAATCTACAACTCTGCAATTTCACAGGAAAGGGGAATTACCATAATAGAGTGAGATACTCTTTTCTTTTCCTTTTCCTTTTTTTTTTTTTTTTTGCTGCCTAATGATATTTCAACCATGAAAGTGATATTGCATGAAGTGTGGGGAAAAAACCATGAAGGGTGGAAAAAAATCCCTTCTCTAGAATAACCTCATATAAAAATATTGTAAAATGTCCCAAGTGAAGGATTGGGTGAGTTACTGAGTTTTTGAGGGGTCATTTGGGAAAAATGTGGAATAATTTCCGAAGTAGGCTTATGGGCCTTATGATAAGACTATTATAATACGACATCTCTTATTATAGTTATTTTTAAATTATTAAAAAGAAGATGAAGGCTACCCTGTGGGACTTTCTGCCTCCAGCCTGTGGCCTTTAAGACTTCCTTAATTTGGGGTTGGGGAGGAGGGGGAATCCCCAATAATGTGTTTCCTGTGATCTTTACAGGCTGCTAGACAGCGTCTCTTTCACTTCTTGCCTTCTCCTGAAAAGAATCAAGATCGCCCCTTCTGCTGAGCATTCATGGCCTCAATGCGTTGCTATCAGCTTGTCTTCCTAAGTCAAAGTAAATAGTTTTCTTTTCAATGTTTTATTACTCTCTGCCTCTTCATTTTCTCCACACCTTCAGGGTCTTTCTTGATTTGAAAAAAAAAAAACATCCTTCATTTGAAAAACCATTCTACAGCTGTTCATTTTTAATGTCTTTTTTTTCCTGGTATCTTTTGTTTTTCAGTCTGGTGTGGGCTTCGTGCAGTAGTTGGTGTCCCACAAGAAGTTGAGGCAACCTGTAATGAAGATGCTTTTCTCCCTTGTAAGGTTTTCCAGGATCTACAGCTCACAACTGGAACTATCTCCTGGTATAAGGTAAAAAAACCCAAAACTGCTGCAATTCATTTTCTTCTCATTTCCCACACCTGCCTGGATTCTGTTTCATGTCTTATATGTGATTTTTGATGCCATACTGAAAGGGTGAAAAATATGTTGCCATAATCATATAGATTGCTGCAGATGCTTCAGTTCATATATTGCATTATTACCTCCATGAGTGTTTATCTGAAAATGGTTAAATAATACTCTGATGAGTGGGCCTGCATGCATATTAGGAAGAACAACTTCTAATATAGATAGTCCTCGACTTACAACAGTTCTTTTTTTTTTTTTGCTTTAATTTATATGCCGCCCTTCTCCGGAGACTCAGGGAGGCTTACAACGCATTAAGCAATTTAGTGAGCAAAGTTACAATGGCATTGAAAAATGTGACTTATGACCGTTGTTTATGCTTATGGTCATTGCAATATCACCTTGGTCATGGGATCAAAATTTAGATGCTTGGCAACTGACTCATATTTATGATGGTTACAGTGTCCCGTGGTCATGTTTTTGTAACCTTCTGACAAGCAAAGTCAATGGGGAAGCCAGATTCACTTAACAACCGGGTCACTAACTTAAGAATTGCAGTGATTCACTTAACAACAGTGGCACAAAAGGTCGTAAAGTGGGTCATAACTCACTTAACAAATGTCTCACTTAGCAACAGAAATTTGGGGCTCAATTGTGGTCATAAGTCAAGGACTACCTGTATTCTACTAACACAGTTTGCAGGCTGTAGTTCCCCACACCCAGGGGTCTCCAGGTTGAAGAATAGGGCTTTTGCAGATGAAAGCAAAATTATTTCGTGAGATCCTAACATTTAGAACAAGGAATGTCTTTTTTTCTGTATACCAGTTCTGAACAGCTGGAATAACACTCCATGCTGCCTCTCTCTCTCTCTCTTTTGCATTTTAAAAAAGAAATCAGTGAAATTATTTCAAGATAATGGCAGCACTGAGCTGCAAACATGATAGAATGTAGTCAGGCAAACAGGCAAATAGTAGAATTAATCACTTAAAAAACTATTAAGGGCCTAATCAATAAGCAGTGTATTTAAGCCCTCTAGGGGACTATTAAATAATAATTCCAACAAATCGCATGACATTTTGCACTGTAAAGTTCAAATAGCTCTTAGGTTAAGTCACAAGTACGGGATAATTGTGAACCGTGTAGTAAATACAAACAATTAACCTTTGACTTAGCTGCTTAAGAATTATGAGAACAATGTGTCTCTGCAGGGTGTACTGCACTTTGTGTCAAATTAATGATCAGACTGTAACAAAAACAAGATTTTCCAGCTTATTGTGTGATACATTGTTAAAAAGATCTTCTCCTAGCTAAAATAACAATAACCCATTAACTAGATATGTTAAATATATTAAAGGCTCATCCTAAAGCTGGGTTAAAAACACTAGTTCGAGTTCATCATAACATATAACAAAGGATACAAAATGTAAATGAATGAAAACACTGCATTTTTTCTTTCAGAAATAATAAGATGTACACTATATATGTAGTTATTTAGTAGTTATACTGTACCTATGAAAGACTTAGAATAGATATTGTGTTAAATACACATCAACTTACCTTAACATATAACAAGATAATAGTGATCCAGATTAATTTTCAGACGGGTAACCATATTATCAATTAACAACTAAAACAATGCATGGTATCTGATGAAGCCAGACTATATCTATTATCTTTTAGACTGTAATAAATGCAATAAATTTTGATGCATTTTTGCTGTAAATTTTTTTTTTAAAAAAAACACCTGTTAGGAAAATTCTTTGCAGTCAAACAAATTCAATTTGTGGTTGTTTCCAAAAGATTTCCAGCCATGTTAGCTCTTTGGTGGAATACTAATATGGCAGCAAATTATCCCTGGGTGCTGTATAATGGTTCCATGTTGTCGTGGGGATTGTATCAATGGCAGGGTAAGGTAAATTCTAAATATACAGGAAGAGACAAGTTCCAGGAACCAAATACTGAATCCTTTGTAGGGATTGTGTGGGAGGGATGGAGGAGATAAGGAGAAGAGAAAGTGATGACTGGGAGATGAGTAAGACAAAGAGTTCCTAGGAATGGAAGAAAAAAAAAAAAACCCAACTGCAGAGCTGCAATTCAAAGAAAAATGCAAACTTTTCTGTGATTTCAAATAACCAAAAGAGAGACAGAATAAATCAGTTAAGTTCCCCAAAACAGATAATATTGGGAGATGTTTATTCTAAAAAGTTGCTTAAATCTGATATATCTGGAAGATTGCTGTTTTCCCATTTCTGTAAATTGCAGCCAATAGTTTAAAGTTGAGGATAGTGAATTCCTCTCATAATGACCTCATAAGGAAGAGGTTATAGCAAATCAGTAGGAGAGTAAGGGCAGCTCCATGATCTTCATGGGGTGTAGGATGGCCTTCCTAGACATTATGCCAAAATAGTTTCTTATTTCAGATTACGTGAACTGAAAAAATAATGGTTCAAGATGGGAATATTGAAATGAGGCACTCTTGATTAACAGGAGGACTAATTCATTTGTATTCTGTCTAGCTGGCTTCTAAAAAAATGATTGATGAGATAGATGAATGATGGTTCTGTACACTTTATTGAACTGGATACTGAGCAATATTAGCAGTGATAATAAATACACATTTAATAGCGGCAATTTTTCATGGCAGAATTTTTGGCTATTGATACCTTGGGATGTATTGTAAAATTTTGCAGTTTTTAAAACTAATTATCATGTTTCTGAATTATAATAATTATTAAATATTAATAATTTATATACAAACTGTTTGTATATAAACTTCATATACAAACTGTTTAGGTTCTCTTTCTCTCTAGGGATTTTACAGAAATTTATTGAAGAAGACTTTAAACCATTTTATAAGACTCCTCATAAGTCCTTTAGGATAACAAAAATACAAAAAAAACCCCACTTTTTCTTTTATAAAGTCATTTTTATACTCTGAATTTTTAGTATACTATTCTTTTACACACACACACACACACACACACACACACACACACACACACACACACAACGTATCTCAGAGAAGTTAAAAAAAATAGCACCTAAAAGTTATAATACAGAAAGAGTGGTTATAATACAGTTTCCAATTAACAATTTCAGTATATAAAAACAAAGAAAGCTTTTCCTTGTAAAAAATCAGGGCAAAAATAATTCTTCTTGTCAAACCAAGACATGGCCACTAGATGTCCCCACCGGCAAATGTTATTAGATAGCTTTGAAAGAATTTATCCTAAAAGGAAAAATAAGTGTATTGCATTTATGTTTTCGAAGAATTGTCGCTGGAAAGGACACTAATTGCCTTATGCCATTTTTTGGGGGGGGGGTGTCTGTCATTTTTTCACGAAGGTATAACAGTTTGCACATATTACCTCTATATCTTGTTTTCCTATATACACTCGATTTAGCAGATTACTAAAGCAGATTATTCAATCATTAGAAAAGGCTTCCTATCTTAAAGTTTACTTGTCTAGTTCTAACATGGCTTTTTTTTTGGCCCTGCTTCAACTGAGCCACCCCACTCTGCCACCAGGACTATCCAAATGGAATAGATTAAAATATGTATTAAATATTAATCAAATTGGAGCCAGACTTAGCTGAAACAGCACCTCAGGCACAAAGCATTTCAGGCAGGTGCCCCTCATTCTTGCCCACTGCCCATTCTCATAATCAGCAACAACATCAATTTAAAGCTGCATTAGCAGCAATAAACAGCTCCATACCAGGGTTCTGTGGTGACTTGAAAGCAATTCTTGTGTCTATCTGATTCTAGAATGTCAGCAGGGTTGGAAGTTGAGTCTTTTATTTCCAGCTCAGCTCTGAGGCAGCCAAAATTACAGTAAAACTGTGGTTTGCTTTTGCAACACTTTGAGCCTTTCCCCTCTTGCATCTATCCATGGTAAAAAAATTGTTTTGACAATATTTTTTTGCTTTGGACGTGCTCTTTTCCAACTGCTTGAGATAGCACAATATAGAAATATAAGTTGCTTTGTCTAGGGAGCTGGTCTCTAATCAGTGAGTGATACCCTTTTGAAAGTTTAAAAATGGCAAGTTAAAGTGCAGCAATTGGTAAATTTCCCTCACTGCAGGAAAAGCTTTCACCAGTCACTCTACCCTGGGTGAGCTTAGGATGGCAGGTTTAGCCATTGACAGAACCCATGAATTCTAAGAACAGCTCTAATTATCTCTTGAATGCTGTATTTTGCTTTATAAAGGGCCTTTTTAAAATAATAGCAGATAAACCAGTACTCTTTAAATGGGAGACCAGGACCTCTAGGCACTGAATTGCCTGTCACACATGACGAATTATACAGGAATCTGACTCTCAGGTTGCAATATAGAGATCCTTTGCTATCACTAAAGCAACGAGTGCTAAGGAAGTGACATGCCAGGATTTCTTTAAAGAAACCTGTCAGCTTAAAACAACCTTTTCGTGATAGTTTCCTCTACAAATCTTGCTGTGCTGCTCCTGTCCTTGTATCATCATCACATTTCAGCAGCACAAACCAAAATGGCTATGAGCCTTGGCACACCATCACCACAATCACTGGCTAAGTGACAAAAGCCATTCATAAAGAATCATTTATAAAGAGGAACCCCCACATCAGATCAAGAAAACCTGAAGTAAAGCAGCTTTGACTATATGGGCTGTAGATTGATTGCTTAATATATTGAAAAATATAGATAAGAGGAAAGCTGTGTTATATAGATCAGGGATCACCATCTTATGGTACCAGTCAGTGGCCTTTTAGGAACTGGGCCCACAGCTGGAGGTGAGTGGCGGGTGAACAAGTGAAACAGAACCCCCCCCCCATCCATGGAAAAATTGCCTTCCACAAAACCTGGTGCCAGAAAGGTTGGGGACCGTTGATATAGATCCATCCTTAATTAATGGGACCAAAGTGTAGGGGATATGTGGTTGTACCAGTGGTGAATTGCTCCCGGTCTGTCCGGTTCTTTAGAACCAGTAGTAAAAGCGGCGTTAGGCTCCGCCCACTCACCCAGACATCATAATTGAAGCTTCTGCGCATGTGCGCTCCCGTTGCGAACTGGTACTAAAGATAAGTAGAACCCATCACTGAGTTGTACCCTCAGCTGCCATTGTGGCATCTATCTGCTGTTTTTAAAACTTTATTCTACTTGGGTTATGTTAGAATAGGGCATAGGAAGAGAGGTGTAGGAATGAGCATAAAGTTGCACATAGAATCTTACAATCAGACCAGTGGTGGGATTCAGCCAGTTCGCACCACTTCGGGAGAACTGGTTGTTAACTTTCTGAGCGGTTTGGAAAACTGGTTGTTGGAAGAAATCATTAGGGCAGAGAACCGGTTGTTAAATTACTTGAATCCCACCACTGATCAGACCCACCTGATTTCTGCAGCACGACTATGATTGGTAGGTGTTTTCCCACTGGTTAATAACATTTGGAAGGAGGACAGCAAAAGCAGTGGAATCTACCTATTGCTTTCTGTAATCTGGTCCTCATACTTCCGATATTCAGGCTGGTGGCAGTGAGAGGTGAGCTTGAAACTCTTTCTGAGGATGCAAAGAAGTGATATTGGTATTATAGGAACTACAAACGAGAAATATTTAATATTAATTGAAAATTAATATAAGTGACCGAAGTTGCTTTAAGACAGATGAGGTTTTTAAAGGCAAATCTTCAAAACTAATCAAGGAGAGAAGCGACCTAGAACTAAGGAGAAATTTCCTGACAGAACAATTGATCAGTGGAACAACTTGCCTCAAAAAGTTCTGAATGCTCCAACACTGGAAATTTTTAAGAAGGGATTGGACAACCATTTATCTGGAATGGTATGGGGTTTCCTGCCTGAGCAGGGGTTTGGACCAGAAGGCCTCCAAAGTCTTGTTATTCTGTTAAAATGTAGCATAACCAAACCCTGTAAACAAGGTTTTCCAGTCCCGAGTCTTTTAGATGCTTGCTGGAATTCTGAGTATTGCAGTCCAAACACCTATTTATTTATTTATTTATTTATTTATCAAATTTCTATACCGCCCTACTCCTGAAGGACTCAGGGCGGTGAACAGCCAAGATAAAATACAGATAATACAAATATTAAAAAAATCCCTTAAAATTATTAAATATTTCGGCCGAAACACAGATTAAAACACCCAATTTATAAAATCACAAATTAAAAAATTTAAGAAATTTAAAAAATGGGAGTTAGGCCATGAAGGGCAGCACAGTGGAAAGGCTGCTGAAATGGTTTAGCACTGGCGTATAAATACTTTCATGTAGTTGCAATCAAAACTCTCTATATTAATTTGTCATTATTTTATAGATTGATGAAAACAACAAAGGACTGAAGGATGTGGAGTATAATAAAGAACATGAATATTCAAGAGGATTTAACGACTCCTTAGAGATTTCTAATGGCACCTGGCATTTTCTGAAGATTAAGCATGCTACACACTTAAGTAGTGGAACATATAAATGTATCTTACTGGAACCAGTCAGGAAATACAACCAAAGTACAATTATACTCAGAATAATAGGTATGATACACTTGTTTGCCAATTTCTTTTTCTTGCATTTGGAACTTTCAAAGTACTTTAATCACGTAAAGATTACTGTTTTGCCTTGCAGGCTGTCCTGAGGAATCGCAAAATCTGAAACTCAAAAAATACACCACAGAACTTATGTTGCTGAGCTCTATTGGGACCTTCTATTTGTTACTTATCATCCTTACTTGTGTAAGTGTTTTCCACTTTTTTTTAACCCTAGGATTTTATTTACTGCCTTTTTTTCAAGTGTTCTCTTCCTTCCTGCATAAGAAGAAAATGCAGATATATTGGCATGTTCCCCGTCTCCTGTTTATTATCTTGCTTCACTCCCAGTCTTCTAGGATTTAGAGGATTAATTTCTGAAGGAAGTTTCTAGCATGATTGTGGAGCATTATTGGTTGTTAAGTAAGACACACACAAATACAGGCCATTGGAAGTTCATTGACCAAGATGCTAAGCTTCTGTGCTGGGCAAGGGAAGAGAGAGGGGGGGGGGGGGGGGGGGAGGGAGGGAGAGATGATTGCAGATAATAATCTGTTTTTATATGGAGCTGAAATGGTCACGCTAACCACGGAAGGGTGAAAAATACCTCCAAAGAAACAGACTGCCTGCATAAACAGTGAAGTGCAGCTGAGGTTCCTAATGCATTAACAATGGGTTGTAAAATACCTTGAATTAGGGGAACAACTTCTGCCTAGTGAAAATTGCCAATAACAAAGCTATTTTAATCATGGACTGAAAAAAAAAATAAACACATGGAAAGCCTTTATAGGTTCCTTATAGAGGTAGTCCTCGATTTACAACAATTGAGCCTAACATTTCTGTTGCTGAGACAGAGGTTAAATCAATTTTGTCCCATTTTATGACCTTTCTTGCCACAATTGCTAAGTGAATCACTGCAGTTGTTAAAGTAGTAATATAGTCATTAAGTGAATCTAGTTTCCCTATTGACTTTGCTTGTCAGAAAGTTGTAAAAGGTGATCACATGACCCCAGGACACTGTAAGCATAATTATGAGCCAGTTGCCAAGTGTCTGAATTTTTATCATGTGACCAAGGGGATGCTGCAATGGTGGTAAGTGTGTAAAAAGGTCATAAATCGGTTTTTTCAGTGCTGTTGTAACTTTGAATGGTCACTAAACAAATGGTTGTAAATTAAGGACTACCTGTATTATCAAATCCAGTTCCTTGGAAGTTGCTGTTACAGAGCAAATTCAGTTCCTGAGTCCTGGTGCTGCCTCACTATGGAATATCATTCAGAAGAAAAAGACGGCTGAAGCTTCTGAAGAGTTTTCAGAACTTCTGTTTCAATCTGCTGCTTTTAAGGGTGGCTGCTTACATATATGAAGAGATGCATCAGCCAAAAAAAAGAGGAAGAGGAAGAGGAAGAGGAGGAGGAGGAGGAGGAGGAGGTGGAGGAGGAGGAGAAAAGATAAGATATAGAAATGCACACAAAATGTATATGTGCCAATGTATAGATACTAATGTATAAGTGCTAATTTAGAAATCATTAATATAAGAGACTTTGTCCTAATTAAGGACATGATTAATCAAGAGATCCAAGTACCTGTATAGTGTGATTTTCATCTGCTCAGTCTTGAAAGGCAACTTCCTGTTCTCTCTCATTCTTGATCTTTCATCATAGGTGAAAGGGTGGACTACACAACCCTTCAAATTAGGCAATTTAGATCTTTTTTTTTTCAGATTGGAAATGTATTTGGTTTCTGAGACAGGAAAGGCCAGAACAAAATACTAAAGCTGATTCAAGGAGCTTTATATTAAAACCTCAGTACATCCATTAAGGACAATTAAAATTACACCCAATGATTGTAATACTTCTCTTATTCTCAAACACATTAAAAATGACAATTTGGTGACAACTTTTGGAGGGATCCTGCAACTGTATCCAATATCTTTGAGAGGCCACTGCAGTCCTATGCACCCTATTGATGAAGTACTGTACACTGAAAGAGCATCAAATAAAAAACTGTACCCAATGAAGTGGAAAACATAGTAACCACCTTATTGCTAATTGATTTATTATCAAGGATGGGTTAGAACTGTCTGAAATAAACCACATTAAGGATAAAGTAAAGTAACATCAAATACAATATATATGATGTACTGTACATAATTTCTTTCTTGCTTGCTTGCCTTTGCATTCATTTTTGATTCTCATGACTGCCTGAATTAATCAGTTTTCTTTGGCAAGTGGTTGCCATTTCTTTCTTGCTAGGCCTGAGAAAAAGTGAATAGGCCAAAGTCACCCAGTTGACTTTCATGCCTAAGGCAAAACTAGAGTTCACAGTCTCCCAGTTTCTACCCATATACCAAATTGGCTGTCATGTATAATTTCTGCCTTTGCTTCATTACCATATCCATTGGCATAAATCAAACATTATCTACTGAGGAGATAATTTATCTTAGCTAAAATCTGCCTCGCATTGATCTTGTAAGAAGCTGTTATATGTTTATATTTTGATATCATCAATCTTTGGTTTTAATTTGTGCCATGCAGTATAAAATTTGGCTTGATAAATGTTGAAGGAAATTGCTTAATTGAAACACAGAACAGAAAAATAGTATTTTTCTGCTCGCTTGCCTGAAAATAATTGAGATTATTTCTATAGTACCTCTTGTTTCTCCTGGTTTTTTTTTTTAAGAAAACAATAACCCTAAACTTTATTTGAGGTAGAAATGTAGTGGGATTTTCTAAAATGAAAAAAGCTGAGATTTATGCTAGAAATGACTATTTCAAGAAAAAAAATGGTATGGTATATTTCTTTATGTTAATAAAGCCTTACCTGCACAAAATTAACTTACATTAGGTGGATTTCCAACTGCTTAAATTTAAAAAAAGAACATTTAAGACTTTTATTTTATTTATTTATTACTTACATTGCCTGCACACCTTTTGTTAAATTTAATAGACATAGTCCACACAGTATTTGGACCCAATAAGATAGTGATGGCAAACCTTTTAGACACCGAGTGCCCAAACTCCACGCCTGCGGATGCCCAAACTGAAAGGTGCGCATGTGCACAAATGCGCCCATGCGTGGACATGTGTGGACATGTGCATGCACAGACATGTGCGGACATGCACAAATGTGTGCAAACATGCACATGCACTAACATGTGCATTCACACACATGCACACAGAAACCCAAACACCAGCTGGCCAACAGGAGGCGGGGCATCCCAACACTGGCAGCGTGACAAGAGGTAAGATCTTTTTCTTTCGTGAGCTTCTGTTTCGTCGTTTGCAGAGAAACAGAAGCTCATGAAAGAAACGCCACAGAGATCTGACCTTGGGCAACAGCACATGTGCCGGCAGAGAGGGCTCTGTGTGCCACCTCTGGCATGCGTGCCATAGGTTTGCCATCACGGCAATAAGATATTAATATTGTTTCGAAATGAGGATAGGGACATCTAAGCCAGGACCAACATATTCACTTTTATGGTAACTCCCCTTTATGAGTTACCTTTCAGATAAATAGACAGGATTGTATACAGTCTTATAAAACTAAAATCAATATGAAAGGAGAAGAGGAAACCCATGGAGGTGTTTTTGTCTTTAGATTACTCTTTAAGAATAACTGGCGGCATAATCAGGCTATAGATGATGCCTCTCTTCAGAACTCAATACTATTAACTTGTGGAATATAGTAACCCTAGATGTAATGATGATAATTAGCTTAGAGAACTTCCAGATAATGAAGCCTGAATATCAAGTGCTGGGAAAATCAGAAAATCCAGGCAGTTCAAATGAATATAAAAGTTTATTGAAAGCTTAAGCCTTAAGGTCTCTATAAGAATCTGGACTACAAAAGGTCAAAGCAAATTTTTGGTAGATAAGAGTCAGTGGATTCAAGGTGGGCTGGACTTCGATGTCGTTTGGGTGTAAAGGGACTCGAGACTGATTATGTGTTTTGACCCCTCCCTTGGACTCAGCCTGGTGATCTACTACACGGACCCTGCTAGTTAAAAGACTTCCTGTACCTTTCTTCCTTCTTTTCCCTTGTAATATTTTTTTCCCAGAGAAATTAGAAATTGGGAGGCTTGTGAGTTAGTTATTTGTTAAATATTGAGATATTTAAACTCAAGGGTAACATTTTTGCATCTTTGTTTTGGAATGGGCAATTTAAAAAAAATACAATTTTACCTAAGAGATTAAGGGTTTAATTATAATGTAAGGGATTAAGTTATAAATACTAATAAGTTATAACTTGCTTCTAAATGTACTTAAATTTATTTTTTACTTCAGCCTTAGACAGTTTGCTTCAAATATTGTTTTCTTTTTTTTTTAGACATGCTTAAAAGAGAGAAGATCTTCTGATCATCATAAATCTGAAAAGCAAACTCTGCCTTTATAGTACCTGTTGAAAGAATGGTTTCTATGACCCAATATTGGACAGCATTGGGAAAGACAATCTTATCAGTTAATTTGGTGGTGCTGTCAAGGCTCTTTCCTGATAATTTGGTGGCGCTACAAGAAGCTCGTCAATAGTGCTATGTCATCGAATAGATATTGTCACAATTCTGTAGGTGAAGGATATGACTGCATAATTGCCTAACTCAGTCTGGCACTCTTTAGGTTGGCACTACAAGTCCTCACATTTCATGACCAGTGAATATTTTGTGATTCATCAGGATTATCAGATGTAGTTTTCAGATCTGCACAAAAGTCCAAATGTCCCTCCCTACCAATCACTCCATGCAATTATTGGTAGCTTTTAATTGCACCAGGTTCTGGATTCCTTCAGTTATGATAGTAAGGCAAACAGGAACTATCACAGAAAGAAAAAACTCAAGCTCAGCAATTACCCAGTGACTGAAATCTTATCAACTGGGATCTCAATTCTCTGTATAGGTTTGAAATCATGTCTGGCAAGGCCCTTTGTATTGTATCATATACTTAGTAAAAGATAAGAAAAATTCAGAGAACATTACAGGTATTCCTCATTCAATGACCGTTCAAAGTTATGGCACTGAATAAGAAGACTTACAACTGGTCTTCATACTTGTGGCCACTGGAGCATCTCCATGGTCAAATGATTGCTTATGGCAATTGGCTTGCAATTATAATGGTTGAAGCATCCTGTGGTCACCTGGTTGCCATTTGTGATCATCACTGCTGCTTTCCAACAAGTGAAGTCATTGGGGAAGCCAGCAGAAATTCTGAATAGTGATCACCTGACATCGTGCCTAATGACCATGTGGGATTTACTTAACTGGAATTGCCACAACTGCTGTTGTAACTTGACACGTTCATGTGATATTGCACTTTACAACCGTGTTGGAATGGTTAATGATGGAATTGCCAATCCCAATTATTGTTGTTAAGTGAGGACTAACGTATTTCATTTCCTACGAGATGAATATACATGATTTTCATAGTGTTGCTAAGTGTGTCTTGTTTTCTGTTTTTCTTTTTAATTTACAAAAACATGCTATAATGTTACATGGTGCTTTAACTTAGCAAATAAATAACTGATTGAACCATCAGTTTCCATATCCAGATATAAAAGGAACTGCAGTATATAGTTGCAATTTGAAATGCATCTTTCATGAGCTGGAGAACAGGAGGAAATATTACTGAAGTGTTTGATACATGTGTACGCTATGGCACAGTATTTGTTTGGGTCTGCCAAATCAACCTGTTACCTACTGAAATTGCGGTGTTCAGAAAAATGATTTCTCGTAAGAACCTTCTCTTAAGAGGATTAAATACCTGCAACAGAATTTATATTAATTAAAAAAGAGACATTAATGCACAAACTTCTTGAATATCATTTTCCTGTTACTAATTTAAGTGCCTTCTCCATGGCTACAGCTTTGGTATCAAAATCAGAACAACTGAATTTCATGTTTCGAATATGCATTGATCACCTGTGTGTGAAAATAAAGAGCTTTAATCATTTCTCCTTTCCAATTTTAAGCACAGTCAAAGAATAGCCTGTTGCTTAATTTAACTCCAACTTGCCTATCCTTGTACCTTTCACATGTTCTTGACTTCATCTCAGTAGGTTGCAGAGCACAGCTGTAGCCCAACCTCTCTGTGTATGCATCTGCTTAGGGAAGCTGATTCAGTCTTACTTGATCATATCCTCTTGTAGAAGCAGAGGGACGTAGCTTTGAGTGGAAGTTACAAAGAATTATGTGGCAAACATTGCCATAGTGTAGTAAAGCTTTCCCAGCATGTTGATTTGATAAGGTACCATTCATCATCGTCTTTACCATGGGTTGGTTGCCAAAACAAAAGTGAAAAAGGCAAAACAGACAGCAGAAGGTGGAAAGGGTGGTTTTATTTTCAGATGCATAAACATGAAATACATAAATGAAAAACAGCATTGCAATTCTATGTATCATATTCAAAAAATAAATTTCACTATATTCCCTGGGGCTTATTCTCATGGAATGATGATGAAGACTGGGTGCTTATTTGTCATTTCTTTCTGGTGGAACTATTGCTAATAATTGTTTGAGTATAAGCTGTATGAGTTGTATTTATCCTTGGTCCATCGGTATAAATTAATTTAATAAAATCAGTTTAAGTGCTGTTCTCTCTTATCCTTAAGAACAAATGATAAAAACGGGCAAGTGTTCTTTGACTCACTTTTAATAGAACAAAACGTGATAAAATAATAGTCTTTCCCAAATACTACTGATATCTAGTAACCTTAACATTACATTGCTTTTGGGGGGATTAAAATGTATTTTTTTCCCTCATCAGTATTAAAGGAAAACAATGTTAGAGAATATTATTATGACCGAAAGAAGCTACATGTCTATATATATTTTATGTACCTTCTTTTTTCTCCAAATAACTACAGTATGTATACAATTCCAATTTTTACATCCAAATTCGGAGTTCTAAATAACACGGTAGCAAATATTAGACAATCAGCTTGTATATTACTCTATCTTACCTTGATTAGCAGTCAATTCTGCAGTAATCTACAAGCAGCAATGAAAAGCAATACTGAAGATCGTTATGGAAATTCCATTTTTTAATGAATTCAAGTCAGCATGTGGTAAATGGTAGAATTTAAATCTGCTTTATAAGAAAGCTGAACAGTGATTTTTCTGGGGTTAGACCATAGGTATGTGTCCAAAATACACCTTAGTCCTATGTTTAGTTTTTACTAGGATTCAAGAGAAATACACAGTTGTCAGGTTTTTTTGCATACCTATGTGGAGAATTCAAGATATGAAGACTGCAATTTGAAAAGCTCCTGAACTAATTAAGCAATGAATAAATAGAAAGATGGGAAGTTCAGGATGGTAGATTAATTAGGAGAGGAGTAAATCAATCGAAAGGCAGGGATTTGACTACACTAGATGTATATTGGATACTAATTGGTTTGTTTTCTCTACAATTTTGTGTAATTTGAAAGGCTGTACAATGAAAAGAGACAACATGAAAAAGCAATTTTATGTTTGTGAGTCAAAATGTAGGCATCGGCATAGAGAGAGCTACAAAGATAACTTTGGAGAAAGTATGCAGCAATTGTTATAATAATGTGTTTTAAGCCTGTGAAAAAAGAAATCATTAAAAAGAAACTTAGATGGTTCTACTTAATTCCTTGGGATAGAAGAAGGAGGAAGGGAAAACACAGTCAAGCTTTCAAGGTTTGGCTACTATAGCCTATATCAGTGTTTCTTAATCTTGGCAACTTAAACATCTGTGGATTTTAACTTCCAGAATTCCACAGCCAGCATGGTTGGAAGGGGAATTTTGGGAGCTGAAGTCCAAACATGTTCAAGTTGCCAAGGTTGAGAACCCTGTCCTATATCAATGGATGACCTACTTTGAACAGTTGACAGTTAAGGCATCCCAGCTGTTCATTGTGTATGTATATGGCAACCTTGAGATTGCAACATCTTGAAGCATTCATGAAGAATAACTGCCTCTGTCTATAGGCCAAAACTTCACTGAGATTTATCTACTCTATGAAGATTTAGAAAGTATCTCCTTATCCGAGTACTGGCACAATATAGAATTAGACTGAAGATACAGCATAGAATTTTTCACAGTAACCACTAGATAAAAGCCCAGTTCAGAGTACACTATTCATACTGATTCCATTTATACCTTGCTACTTGCTGCACAATAACTGGCAACATTTTCCTCTGAGTTTCAATTCAATGGAGTTGATGCACTGAATCTGAGCATCAAACCCGAACTGCTGAAGCTTAGGTTTATGGATACTGTAAGAAAGTTAGCACCCACCCATCTCCTAGGCAGAATATTATATTTCCCTGGATGAGAAAAGGAGAAACATGTTTTTAAAGACAAAGCAGCTCCCTGCAGCTCCTTGTCCCCCACTTCAGCTCCAGGGTGATGGAATTAAGACTTTCACCCTCAGGACATGATAGGATTAGTTTCATTACCTTATCACCCAGCAAGATTAAACCAAGCCTGGAACTCAAGACAACCTACAAAGTTACCCCTGCATGGGCCCATGAGAGTCTGACAACCAATCAGGATACCTGCCCTTACACAGGAACAGGAAGCTCCAAGGTGGGGCCCAAGAGAGGGTATAAATCTCTCTCACCCATGTGCTCGATTGCCCAGGACCTCAAACCATGTGGTCCTGTCCACCATTAAACCATCTTTCCAAACAGCTTTCATGTTTCCAGTGTCTTTCTCCCCACTTGGAACTGAACCCAGATGGACATTTCTTACAACAATACTTGAGCTACTTCATAAACTGAAGCTGTTAAATATTATGCCTACATGCAAAAGTGCCATGTATATTTAAACCATGATGTGAAATATTGATAGATGACAAAGTAACTAAAAATCCTTTAGTTAGGAGGGGGTTGGTTAATATTAAAAAGGCATATCTTGGCTGTTTCTTTTTCTTTTGGGGGACATTTTTTAAATTTAAAGGGTTTGTGGATCCTGAAAAACTATTGACCCAAACTATAATTCTACCACATTTGATTATAACTACCTCTGTGACTGGACATAGGTATCTACTAATGTTTTAATAGTTGAAAATAAAAAAAGTAATGTTAATACTTGCAACAATCCTTATACTTTCTAAAATTTCTTTCTTTGTTGAGGCCCGTCAGCGGCCTGTGCAGTTAGTAGCTGATTCCGACAGTGAGGAGGTTGGTGTGGTGCTGCGCCAGCAGCCTGTGCAGCTGGCGCTCGAGTCAGACAATGAACCTCCAGAAGCCCCCATAAGTGAAGAGGAAGAAGAGGAGGAGCCTCTTCTTGATGCACGAGTGCACAGAGCTGTTAAAAGGCAGGAGTGGCTCCTCAGGAGACGGTCTCCTCGAGAGTAAGGCTTGGGGCTAATTGGCCACTCCCCTAGCCTATTTAAGGAAGGACGACAATGGATGCAATTTGTAGGAAACAACTTCGTTCATATTCCTTCGTGTCTTGATTCCAGAAATGTTTGATTCTGCTCTTGTTTCTCTATTGTCAGTTTTCCTGCAAATTGCTTCTGGGCATTCTGCCAACCACAGTAAGATTACGGTTATTTGAAATACTGTGCCTCAGAATTGAGTTATTATTCTTTGGATTCTTGTCGGCTGTTAATGAAGTTAAATTAACAGCCCTTGTTCAGAAAAGACTGATTTAAACTGTACTTGTGTTCGAACAACTACTTAGAAAGTTCATTAGTAGTCCTTAATTAGTAAACTAAGGTTTGTATGGACTTTGTGTGTGCTGCGTTCTTTGGGGTCCATAGCTGGGGCAGAACATCCTTTAAACAGCTATAAGAGGCTTCTCTTTGCCTTTCCTGACCTAGATTTAGACAGCCTGTCTTAATTTGTGTGTCCTTATTTTGCCAGTAATATTATTGAGGAGAGTCACAAGCATAGCTTCCAAATCTGTGTACAAGTTGTCCTCAACATACAACTGTTCACTTAGTGATGGTTCAAAGTTACAATGGCACTGAAACAACAAGTGTCTTATGATCATTTTTCACATTAACAACAATTGCAGCCTCACTATGGTCACGTGATTGAAATTCAAATGCTTGGTAACTGACTCATATTTATGACAGTTGCAGTGTCCCGGGATCATGTGATCACCATTTGCAACCTTTTGCAAGCAAAGTCAATGGGGAAGCCAGATTCACTTAACTGTGACAAGATAGGTTGTAAAATTGGGCTAAATTCACTTAACAAATGTCTCGCTTAGCAACATAAATTTGCTTAATTGTGATTGTAAGCTGAGGACTACCTGTGCTGAATCCTCCAGATGTGTGGTTTTCAACTCAGAAATATCTAGCCACCTAGATAATCACCTAGTTAAGAAATTCAACCACTAAATCTATACATCTGAAGTGTCTACCTGTAAGAGATAAACTAAAAAACTAAACTAAAGATACACAGACTGAGGTAAATTCTATAAATTCCCACTGGAATTAATAGGAGACAGATATATAGTTAAAGGCTTATGAATACTGGATTTCCATAGGAGTGCAGGATTAACCACTGAAGCCAAAATTGAAAATTCCAACAACTCTCCATGCTCTAACCTTCTCATTCTTCTCTAGGTTCCCCATTCTCCCACAGCTATCAACCAATAATCCTTAGCACTGAGGATGCTCTGTCCTTATGGGCCTGCTGCAGTTCTCCTTCCATTTACAAGATAGTTTGCATTTCTGCAAACTTTGAGGTATCCCCAGATACGCAATTAAGTTGGACATAGATGCTTTGGACTAATGTCTGCATTTAGAAATCTCATACTTTTGTTAGTACAAAATGTCCTGTTTAGACTGCATTATTTCAGGAATTCTATTCTATTCTATTCTATTCTATTCTATTCTATTCTATCTATTCTATTTATTCTATTCTATTCTATTCTACTCTATCTACTCTATTCTATTCTACTCTACTCTATTCTACCCTATCCTATCCCAGTCCAGTCCTTGCTTAGCACAGTAAACATTCTGAACATACTATTCTAAAGATCTTCTCCTCCCTTTTATTGTGCTGATACTAGAGTTTTTGTTATTATATCACACCTTGAGAAGCCTGCTAATATTTTTACTTGTGTAACATTTAGTACTATTTTGGCTACAAAGAGATCAGCACCTGGAAGTTAATTGGCTGCTAATATACAGAACATAGTTTGTTTTTCATTCCAGCTGGTGACAATTGTACTTACGGTAATTAACTGTGTGAAGTTTTCAAATGATTCTGCAATGTGTTTTCTTATTTGGTATATTCTTAAAGTTACATGAGGAGAGACAATGACTCAGCATCTGGATACTATTTATTTAGCTATTATCTTTATAGGGGTAAGCACGATGAAACTGAAAATGTTAAAAAGTTGCATCCTAAGATTAGTCTTTTGAAGTTAACATCAACTGGGTAGAATTTAAAAAAAACAAGCACATAAACTGTCTTGGTGCTAAAACAATTCCAGCAGACACAGTGACAGAGAAGGAACTACTCTGTATCTAGCAAGATTATAAGGCTTAATATATTGGATCCAAAACCTGTCAATCCTATCAGATCTATTGAAGGACACAGATAACTCAGAGAGGCAATCCTACTCACATCTGGGTCCTGTGCTTTAGGAATGTCCTCTTA